AGCAGGCATTGAGAGGGGATGAAACCCTAGGCGAGGAAGACTCCTTAAAACCAATTTTAGAGCTGCTAGTCTGCGTTCTGCTGTGGATGGGAGAAATGACCCCCAAGATGGTCACTTAAGTTTTGCTTCAACAGGACATCAGTTTTAATTTCGTATGTACTGCTGTAAGTTTCCAGATGGAATAATGGCTATACTATAGCCAGAAGGGACACTGAATACAACATTTGCGATGGCTTGTTAGAACCATCATAAGAAAGACTCCCTGGACTTAGGGGAAGTCAGATACAGCTGCATACAGTTACTGAGAGTGAGACCCCAGAAAATCTGAAATGCACCATAGCTTCTATGACTCAGTGAAAAAAGGCTCTCAGCTGATGCCTAAAATTCCATTACCAAACCTCCCTCTGATCTCAAGCATCTGATGTCTTTCTTCATATAAGCTCCTCAGAAACAAGCAAAGGTTTAGGTTGTCAGTGGAGTTATACTTTATGAGTGTCTGGGAAAGTTTTTATAGCAAAAAAGAGGAGGGCTGAGGAGATGACTCAGTAGAATAAGCACTTCCCTAGCAAGCACCAGGGCCTGAGTTCAACCCCCGATTCCGAAAAAAAAAAAAAAAAAAAAAAAAAAAAAAAAGAAAGAATGCAAAAGACTAAAGCCCTACGAGAACAAATGGGACACGGTTGGGAAGATCAGGAAACTGGCCTTTTTCATGATTTTGTCCTGATTTTACAAATAACTGGAAAAATAAACAAATGACTCACTGTCAAATTCACCACGGTTGCCAGTTAAGAACTGTCCTCCCCATTGGTGACTCCTGGTTGCTCTTTGCCCAAAAGAAAGTCCCCCAAGAAAGTATAGACACATGAAGATGAAGAGCGAGGTCTCCTCTGTGGGCAGCATTTGGAAAAGGAAAGGAAAGGAAATAATACTGAGTGACCAGTTTTACATTTTAATGACATTCACTTGTAGTAGATGTATGTAGTTGTTTTAAATGTTCCTAATCCACCCATTGATCTAGTACCACTTTTTAAAAGATGACTAACAGACTCAGACATATGCTTCAAGTTGCACCACTGTAAAGAATGAAGTGGGGAGGGCCAGCCAAATAGTTCAGTGGGTTAAAGTGCCTGTAAGCAGGTGCAGGGGCCAGGGGTTCAATCTCCTGGCCTGCCGTGCTGGCCCTGCCCAGGGGCGTGCTGAGACAGCAATTGAGACTGGGCATGGTGGTATGGGCCTGTAATCCTGGCTCTTGGGAGTCTGTAAACAGGCAGATCACTATCAGTCTGATCTAGTAGTGAGACTCTGAACACCCTGTAGACCCTTCCCTAAAATACAAAAAGAAAAAAAAAAGAATGAAGTGGGGCTCAAGCCTGAGACTTCTTGAACAGAAAGCTCCAGTTCCTCCACACTCTGCCTCTGGAGTAAAACTATGAAATTCTGAACACTCCCTTTCCGTGGGTGTCCAACACTCAGCAGTCTCATGAGGTATCATCTGATGGAACCAGGCAGTGTGCTCCACCTCGGAAACCCAGGACAAGCACTGCACAACCCCGTGGGGCAGAAATCACCCTCTTTTAGGTCGTGGCTTGGAGAAATAGGTCATGCAGCAGGTTGCTCAGCAGTGAGTCCAGGTGATGAAAGCTTCCTGCGGCACCTGGCACAAGCACAGGGCAGGGATGTACAGTAGTGAGGCTCGTAGGCCTCGTGAGATGGGCTCTCTGAACCTCAGATTTTTCACCAGTGCACTGGGAAGAGTAATAGTTTGTTGGATCATGATTAAATGAGGTGGAGTACTGAGTATTGTCTTTTAAATTTTTTCCCTGCCTCTGTCTTCAAAATCCACAACCCAAATTCTATCTTATGAATTAACATTAAAAGGAGAATGTAACAGCCATGTGTGGTTTCTGCACATCAGCATCCTGGATTGTGTTTGAGGCACGCAGATGTCTGGATGTGACATTACAGTGCGAGGTCAGCATAGCTGTGAACACAGCCAAGAAAAACAAGGATAAGCAAAGCCCCGGGCCTTTCAACCCTAGTGGCACAGACAGAATAACAAAGATGACAGTGGGTTTTGTTTGGTGTCTCTCTGGTGGCTTTTGTGTGGTTTCCGTGGAAGGCTTTGCCCTGGCATTTTGCAGGAATAGCGCAGTTGTTAGGGGTGATTATAGGCAACTGCCGTTTCCTGGAGACTGAACTGTGTTTATTCACGGACGGATTGCTCTCCGGGGACTGGCTGAGGAGGGCACAATGGGTGCTGGGGTTTCCCACAGATTACATCTTGGGAGATCCAGGAGAACTGGCCTGGAGGCCCTGGAGAGACACACCAGGCACCACCAATCCACAGATCTAGGGGGAGAAGTCGAGCTCTTGGGCGGGACACTCATGGAATCTGCTCCAACAGAAAAGCAAACTGGAGGGCGGGTTCACCGGATGGGCCACCGTCCCCTGCAGTCCATGCTTGGAATCAGCAAACATTAAGAAACCAAAGGAGATCACCAGAGTTGAGCAGGGAAAACTTCCCTGAAAATTGTGTGGTGACTGAGTACTTTAAACAAAGCTAGACCAAATGGACCCGTGCTAAAAAGAATGACTTCAAAGACTGAGTACTGGTGAGGACCATGCCACACTGGGTTGCTCATGGCTGAACATGACAGCATTTGAGATATAGGGCATTGGGTCAAATGACATAATTGTCGAAATTAATTTTACTTATTATTGTTTTTCAATGTGCTGACTGGAAAATTTTAAGTTAATGTACGCCTCGCCTTCTATTTCTACTGCTCATAGACATGGTTACCTCTTTACGCTTTACGCCCTGGGTGCCGTGACACCCTCACCTTGCACTTCTCCACTAGGGGTTTTGCTCTTGCTGTTTGCTCTACCAAGAATGCCCTGTCCCCTAGACCTGCGTGCAGATGGAGCTTATCCAGCTGTCTGATTTCTTTAAGTCTCTTTCTCTGTCTCTCTCTGTCTCTCTCTGTCTCTCTCTGTCTCTCTCTCTCTCTGTCTTTCTCTGTGTCTCTGTCTCAGTCTTTCTCTGTCCCTCTTTCTCTGTTTCTGTGTGTGTGTGTGTGTGTGTGTGTGTGTGTGTGTGTGTATCTCCCTCTCCCTGTCCTCTCTCTGTCTCTGTCTGTCTCTCCCTCTCCCTCTGTCTGTCTGTCTCTGTCTCTCCCCCCTCCCTGTCTCTATCTCTCTGTCTCTGTCTCTCCTTCTCCCTCTGTCTGTCTCTCTCCCTCTGTCTGTCTGTCTGTCTGTCTGTCTGTCTGTCTGTCTGTCTGTCTATCTGTCTGTCTTTCTCTCTCTGTCTTTCTCTGTCTGTCTCTGTATCTGTCTCTGTCTATCTTAGCACCACAGCACACCAGTGTCAGGTCTGTTCTCTCGTGACTGTGTGGCTAGCTAGTAGCTGCGGCTTGCATGACATTTCAAGAGATTATCAAAGTATACATTACCAGCCTAGGAGAAAGTTTAAAAATTCAGAAGTTGAAATGCAGTCTCTACTGAATGCTGTAGTGTCCCTGTAAAGACAAAAACTCTAATTAGAAACATTAAGTGGAGACTATAGGTCCAGCTCGAGCCTCCTTGCTCTGCACCCTGAACTCAGAACAGCGTCTCACTCCAATGTTCTATGAATGATTAAATGCGTGAGCCTTAAGCTCAGGTAAAGCTGTCTCAGAGGTGCTCCCTCATGTCTCCTTGCTTCCTGGTTGGGCAATGCGGAGGTTCAGCTAGGTGCTGGGCACTGAGGCAATGTCACAGGTGTCCTTGTCTCTGCTCTCACAAGTTCTGAACTTAGTAGTCTTCATAGACAAAAGTGTCAGCAGAGTTGTCATGTTGTGCCTTGAGGCTTCTGCTTCATTTCATTTCATATTTCATTTCAGTCTCTGCTCAGGCAATAACCCTGCCTCAGTGGGAACAAGGTAACCTCAAGGTTCAGGCACTCTGTTGACCAGAAGCTGCTGATGGCTGATGGGGGGATGGTCCTTTGTGTTCTTCTGTTTTTGAGAAACAGATTAGCCATTCCTGAAAGCTATGATTATGGGCAGCATCAGGGCATGTATTTCTAGCTGCGGAAGATGCTAAATGAGATAATTTCAGTCCAAATAGAACATGTTTTCAGAGGTTATACGGGAAGACAGACCTCCTAATACATCAGTAGATTACAAAAGCAACTTATATACCCATATGTAGAACAAATGTTCCTTTTGTTTAAATATATCCCCTAAATGTACAAGAGAAAGACCAGTGTATCCCACATGGTTAACCTTGGCAATGTCAGGGTTGGAGAAGGAAAGGATTGAAAGGTACTATAAATATCTTTTTCATGTGCCTCCATATTATTGTAGTTGTCTAAACAGGAGCATATGTTGTACTTTCATAAATAAATGAAATAACTTTTATGACAAAAATTTAAAAAGAAGCACCATAGGGGCTGGGGATATAGCTCAGTGGCATGAGTGCCTGGCTGGCAAGTGCAAGGTCCCAAGTTTGATCCTCAGTACCACAGAAAGATAGATAGATAGAAAGAAAGAAAGAAAGAAAGAAAGAAAGAAAGGTCTTGCACAGGTGTCATTGTGAGGCTGTGAGTAACTGTGAAATGGGGAGAAGCAAACTGTAGAAAAGAAAGCTGTCACTAACATACTACATCACCATCCAGCTGGATTAAAACCCTAAAGCCATGGATCGGCATCTGCGAGGTTCATTCTCCATAGATTGCACTATCCATGCCAGCGACAAGTTCTGCAAATACGCCATGTTTCACCAAGGCAGTGTGGGGGGTGGGTGATACTGGGGCTCAGTGAATAGAAATTGCTCACCTCAAAAAATGATTCAGATGACAAACTCCCCCTGAGTCTGTGCCACGCTTTTTCAGAATGAAGGCCAGCAGCGGTTGGTCTACAGCGCTGATGGAACTTTCTTAGCGCTAGATTTCTGGAGCAACCTAGACCAAAACATCTTCTTCTCTCTTACTTAAATGAGACCCTCTTATCTTCTCACAGAAAAAGCGCACCCTGAAGGGCTCCATTGAACTCTCCCGAATCAAATGTGTCGAGATTGTGAAAAGCGACATCAGTATCCCATGCCACTACAAATACCCATTCCAGGTAAGTCCGTCAGGCCTAAAGGGCCAAGGTGAGAACCCCAAGTTGTTGTGAGAGAGAGTGGAAAGGAAGGGTTCTGGTCCAGACTTAGAAAATTTAGTCCAAGCCCAAAAGGAGACTTCTGTGTTGCTCTTCCAGCCAGCGACATTAATCCACACACTTGTTCCACAGAGGTTAAGCACAAAGTCTTGAAAAGGCTGTTATTCTTCCTCCCCTTTCATCCCCTGCCCTCAGCGAAAGTCCTAATTCCTCTGCTCCCCGATGACCCCAAGTCTAGTGTTTTCAGTACAGTTTGCTCAGGATTTGAGGCCAGGGTTTGAGACCACAAATTGCAATCCAGGGTTAGGAACTTCTTGCCATTTCCAAGGGAAGAAGTCTCAGCTTTACAGTCTGAAGAGGCTATCTGGAAAGGTTGTCTTGTTCAAAATATTAATGACTAGCAGCATATAGTTGCTTACATTTAATTGTAAATTCATTAAAATTAAGTAATACTACTATTTTAACTCCCAGATCAGTCACACTGGTCACATTGCACATGCTCTGTAGCCATAGGTAGCTAACAGGACCAGTGTTGGACAGC